GCCAATCAGATTTATGATTTCATGCTGCAAAGTTGGGAGTCGCCAATGCATGTAGGTGTAGACCGATGGTGTTTGAAACGTCTACTCCTCTTCCTGTTTAACAAGTACACTCATGGCATTTCGAGAAGGCATGGATAAGTTGGATGCACGTCTTTCCATTTGAGTTTTTTCCCGTTTCAGTCTTACACATTCTTATACATTGAATTAAATGCTACTTATTTACTATAATTTGATATTTTCTGGCATTGAGGAAGCCTGGAGTGGTGTTAATGGCACTGTATGGTCCATCAACTTGGGGAAGGTTGCACGACTACACCAGGGTTTTCTTGCATTTTCATCGGTAGTTTGCAAAATTAAATAAATGGAACATTCAGAAATGCAGCCACCATAAAGATGGCTTCTTGGGTGCGGTAAAACAACCAAATTGAGGCCCTTTATGGAAAATCAGTTAAAGGCGGTGCTAAACTCCGTCGACAGCATTCTAATGGTAACATCCTGCTGGCGCCTTCTGTCAGTGCTCTTGTAACGATCACTTCAAAGCGCAATTGGGACTGGAAGGAAAGTTCCATGGATCGGTGGCAGAGACAGCTACTAGGGAAGGCCACTTCACCAGGACGTTGTGAGATACGACAGAGAATGTGGATGTCAAGGTGGTGAAAGCGATCACTCATGCATGTTGGCTAACAGAAGAAGTCAGTACATTGTCTGGTCTAGCAGGCTGAACTAACTCGTTGTAATTAGTGAGGGTCAACGAAGTGTGCCTGTTATCAGCGTTACGGAACCGACATATGCATCAGTATGGCACCCATTATCCCGTCACCTCTCATCTCCCTCGAATGCTGGACCCTCGGATCAAGAAATGTTGGTTGAAGTTGACTGATGTGGTTCGAGTTTGACCATCCAACATGTCGAGTTGAAGTCACTTCCACAGCTGGAGAAGCTTTATCTCAACTTTGGTGTGTAGCCATTGGAGAGGGTGAAGTAAGGGAGTGAAGTGCAGTACTTGGTTCTGACGATATCTCGCGTTGAATGAGACCCTCCGTTCCCCATTCTGACGAGGTGTTGCTTGCTGGTGGTTGGTGAGATAATTATAGAAGAAGGGCGTCAGGACCACTCAGTCATGTTCAGCGTGACTGATAGGAGTATTTACCGACACTTCTATCGACTGGAACTGGAGAATGATTGAGGCAGCCCATCAACTGTGTGCCACGTGTCACGTATTAAAATGTGTGAGTAGAATCCAATGACTAAGCAATAAATATGTTTGTCACTTCCTCACGTCGTGTTGTCAAAATGTTGAGTTGAGATTGAACAGATGGCTGACTGCCTTAAAACGAGAAATGGAACATATATTGCAACGTT